TTTGTTTGCGCTCCCGGACCACGATAACCCAAGCGCTTGTTGCGGACTGAACGCGCCCAGCGACACTCACTATGAGAAACATTCACCGTTAGCGTACCCGAACTTGTGTCACTCGAGCTGGCGAAGCCTCCCGCCGAGCGAGGCCTCCGCGCCTCTGCCTTCCGCGCAGCCCGGAGGCAAAGCAGGCCAGGAAGGGCTCTGAACTCGAGGAGAAGCTTCAGGAAGCCTCCGGAAAAGACAAAGAGTACACAAGGGAAGCCGCTGGTGATGTCTAAATATTTATCCAGAAGGTGGGTAGTAAGGAAGGACTACTTAGTATTAAAGATGTCAAATATCACACTTCTAATTATATTAGAAGAGGTAGCACAACGGAAGGTAAATCTGAATGCACATCTGAGATCACGAGACTCGCTGCTTAATCCGTGCCTGCAGATCCTTACATCACTTAGCGTGTTGCCGTTGGGCGTTGTTTTCTGACATCGCGATTTGCCTCTTACAGGTGCAGTGCAGTTCAGACTGTCTGTGCTGAAAGTGGAGTTACTCTGCGTTTAGTCAAACTTTGCTGGTTTTATGTGTTCCGTTCATACAATAATGCAGGCTTTTTATCATCTTTCTGCTGGGATTGCACTGAGTAGTTAAATACATTCGCATGTCACAGAGGAGAACAAAGTGTCTTGTGTAGAAATGCACATGGAGTAGCCACAAGACCCTTCAAGAAGCCATACAGAATGCAAGCTAATTTGGCATCTGTGGGAACTACCCAAAGACTGCCCTAAAGTCAGGCCTTGGAAACAACGGAAGTTCAGGTTTTAATTCAGGTTAGAATTCTGCAGTAGAATTAGTGGAGCTGTATAGTATTTATCTTGGTAAAATAAACTTTCTCTTGCTCTGTTAAACTGCAAGACGTTTGACACACCGTCTGTGACGGGAGGCTTGCCTCCAACAACAGAGATGTGGAGCATTGCTCACTGGACGCCACACGCCACTGGGGAACACCGTCATGCTATCTTTGCTGAAGCAATTTGCTGTATGTATCCTTATCTATAGCTGCATATTGTACTGCCCTTAGAAGTTTTAATACCAGTTTAATTCCCCGTCACGTAATTGATTACATACGTTTTGCAGTTAAGAAAGGTCACGGATTCATACACTCTGTCTGACATTGCTAATTATCAAAAAGATTTTGTATATTTAATGGAATTAAAACACAGTATTTTATGTAACAGTATCACCTAAGTGGTTGGAACCAATAATACCAATAGCACGTTAAAAAGGTACGGCGTGACCTGCGGTTCACAGGCTATCTCTGATTATCTTCTTAATGGATATATACAAACACAAGAAGACATCCAACCCTTGCTACCAAAACACGAGGAGAGTAACAGAATGTAAACACAAAGCTGCTAATGTACACACTGACACATGAATGACATTTACATTGTTCAGAATAAAATCCAGGATAGTGTTGAATAATGAGCAACAGAAAAATTGCTATAGCAAAATAATCTTTCGAATCAAATGCGGACTCATTTGAAATGAGAGTTTTTTCGTTAAAAAAAATGTGCGGCTAATAATAAAGTCTTTTAACCTGTATTTTGTTATAGGTGACAGGTGAACAAATCACAGGTCTTGAGTTTCTCTACCCTGCCTCTCTTGGTAACGTCATCTCCAGTACCATCTGCTACCTACCAGACAAACAGACCAACCACATAATGAGGTACCAGCTTCCACCCAGCTACCGTGACTAAATCAGAACAAAAGATTCAACGCCTCCTTCAACAAAGGAACACAAGTCTAAGCTGTCTTTGCTAATTGCTGGGTTTCAGGTTGTCTGTTACAGATTTTAAGTGAGCTACAAACTTCCATCAAATACTTATAGCTGTTGGATAAAGGTACTAAGAATAAAAGATAAATGGAAGCAAAAGGTAAGAGAGAAGAGAGCTTAGAAATTGAGTAACTACTTATGGTAATTTAAAGGCTGTGGAATAATATAAACATGAAAGACCAGGGGGCAGAGTGATTGATATCTCATATGTTTTCGATGCCCCTACGGTTATTAGACTGCAATATATGGGAACATACAATAAACTATGAATTAAAATGTAATTGTAGCTTCAGGCATCTTCTTCATTGTCTGCTGTGGTGTTATGTCTTCATGCACCGTGATTGACAAGGTGTAATTAATCATCTTACTCAGTTGTAAATATGGGCACCCTTCACAGTAGGCATCAGGAAGTGTGTACCAGCAAAGGAAGCAATAGTTGACGCTGATATACCATTAAATCAAAATCAGAACGCTTACATGTTCAGAAATGTGTGTTTGGTGTGATGCTGTTATCCTTTATTTCTAAAATACTGTACCAACAGATTTACTTGATTTGCAAGTTAACTACAACATTAACTGGTTTTATTTATTTTGTCTCTTCTTCATTTTTATAGGCTATGATGTTGTTCTCCTAAAATGTGAGACAGTTTGCTTCTTGTCAGCAAGTGGAGCTCAGCTCAGCTCTTCATCTCCCTGAGTTGCCGGAGACAGACTAGCGTGCTTCAGATTCAGTGGCTCTATAGACTGACTTGAAACGATTCAGAGAAATTATTACTCCATTCATATCATATACCGCTTTTTGCATTGCTTATATACTGAGTTAGACACTTTGGGCCATTTTAAAGTGAAAGCGAATAATGAAATAATCTTATTAAGAAACACTGTTCAGTTTAAAAATAGGACAAATGCTGTCCCCTAACTGTAAATGAATGTATTTTAAAGGATTTTTTTTTTCAGTATTCCAGGGCAAGGAACATTTTATGTCTGTTTCTTTTTCTAAATGATTGCTATCCTTATCCAGTTAGTGCAAAAATGGTGTGTGAGTCACAGGAAATTTGAGTGGTTTGTCTCAGGAAAATTTGGTGGTATGCATTTTTTTGACGCACATAGAGCTGCTGAATGAATAATTGGCAACCTATTTAATGTCCTTTGCTTTAAAGCTGTCTAGTACATGTGCTGTTTAAAAAAATGTCTTTCAAAGCTGTTAAATATGTAACAAAAAGAGGTTGCTATCACCATTCTGACATGAACAAAGCCATACAGTGAGCTGCCTGAGGTACTTCCAGCATGGTATTAATTACAAACACAATAATAAATGAAAATCTGCAAAGTTCTCAAATTCCATTTCTTTGCGATACCAGCTGATGAATGTTTTATAAAAGCATGCAGTAAAAATATCAGTTCAGGAATTAGCTATTAAATATTACCTAAGCCAAGCGTTTGGGGGAGAGTACGGAATCTGTTGGATCTATAATTTCACCATTTACCCCTGATTGAATAAGACCTCTAGCTGTCTCAGAAGCAAACCGAGCTTCAAACAGCAGCGCACTTTCAAGAAGATGATCGACTAAGAATGTGTTTTATTTTGATTTGAAAAACTGTCAATCATCGATAAATAAGACCAAACAATAGTATTATATAATATTAGCTAATTGTATTTGTCTGGTAAACCAGGAATATGCAAGAAAGGTAAATAATACAGTTTAAAAGGAAAATATTCAGAATGTTTTGCCCAGATGTTGTGTAGAAATTGCTTGTCACTGGTACAAGCAATAGATTTCGGATAAAAATACAAGCATGTGTCTATAGATGTGAGAGAGAAATAAGATGCCCATGATCTTACATATTTCAGTTAATATAGCCACAGCTATTTAAACAATTCCAAAACTGCCTCTACGGGTGTCAAAGAGGGAGGGAAATCTTCAACCACATGATCTTCTCT